AAGAATTCTAGTTCCTTGAGGCCTTAAGCAGAGTGTGGAAGTAGCAGGATCCCTGCAGAAGGGAGACAGGTGTAGGTGGGTGTCATCACAGATTTCTGGGGTTCTGTGAGTCCTGGGAGAGAGGCTCCTTGGCTGCCCGGAGGTGGCACTCCTCCCTTGGAGCCTGTAGCCTAGCTTGTCTTGCTGTGTACTCTGCCCAAGTGTGCTTGGGATGCTTGAAGTGAACAGTCTGTGAAGGTAAGATGCACACACATAAATATCCTCGTTAAGTCCCAAATACACATCCCAAACTTTACATAACAGGAGCAGCAGCTGGAGACGCCCATAGTCCTAAATGCTTTTCTGTACTAAGAGAACATCCTCTCTCCATCTCTCATTCATTTAGGTAATGTTGGATGGAGCCAGCTGCGGCAGCCTGGTGAGCAGGCAGGAGCGTTTGTACCTCCACCTGATGGGTGCTGCCACAAGGATGGGATGTCACGGGTAGCGGGAACCTCTCTGATCCCTTCATGGGAAGTTGGGTCCTGAGGATGGGAGGCCAGCCACTCAGCTCTGGTCTTGATCTCAATGTGCCCAAACTGAGCTGGGATGCATCTCCTCCAGGGACTGGACAAGCACGTTTCAGAGCAGTGGAAGGACCCAGGGCCAGTTAAAGGCACGGGGATGGGAATGGATGGAAGAAATGACTCCATTCAACAAATTGCTCAAGATGCCTTCTTTGAGTCTCATGCTGGGCTGGGACACTGAGACTAATAAATCAGCCACAGCCCATCCTCAAAGCTCAGAGGCCTGGGGAGGAAATAGTCATGGGCATGAAAAGGGCTGGAATCAAGGGTAGCTTTCAGGACTGGGGTGTACAGAGAGTCTGGCTCTGTCTTGGGGCCAGAGGGCCAGGGAAGACTTCCTTGAATCAGAGACAGTAGGATTGGGCCTTGAGAGTGCGTCTGACCCAGGGAGGGAAGTTACCTGCAGCTGGGGTATTCCCTTCTGCAAAATGTGGCCAAGGTTACCGTGGACTTCCAAGCTCCAAAGTGACATCAGGTTTGTCCCCTTGCCTCCTGGTCTCTAGTAACCATCTAGGACTCATGAATACCCTCTTGAGATTTCTTTAAGGAAAATCCCAAGCATGGGGTTCTCAGCTGGGAGCCGGCCTAGATGCCTGTGGAACTGAACTCAGGCCCATGGTGGTTGGCGAGGGTGGGTGCCCTGGAACAGTTGGGTTTGAACCCCTCTGCGGAGGGGCTCTGTAGAGGGCTGTGGCCCAGCTGCTCTGCCCACCAGGCTTCCTGTGGGTGGCAAGTGAAACTTTTCTTCCTGGTTCTCTCCCGGCAGCCAGCTCCATTCCCTCAGCCCCAAGTGGCGGCTCCTTGGGCCGGAAACAATGTGCTTTCTCCACGCCTTAGAGTGGAAGTCAGCAGTTTGGCACCGTCTGGCTGGCAGTCTCCACCGGCTTCCTTTGGCACTTTATTGGCAAAGGCGGTGACATTTCTTTCAGTCGGGTGGGTGGAGCTGTTATGCAAACTCCCGCTCTCCCCATTCGCCAGATGAATATTCATGACTCAGGCAATCTGTAGCAGCCAGACTTTCCTGAGGGCGGCAGCTTTTCTTCTCTTCCTCTCTCTCTTTTTCTTTCTCCTTCTCTTCTTCCCAGCTCTTTGGAAAGCTGAAGTGCAGCTATATTTAATTTACAAATACAGAGCTATTTAGCTTGCCTTTTGAGATGCAGGCATTGGGGAGGAGGTGCTGGGGAACGGGGACAGTGGTTAAGGCATTTGGTCTGGACCGTGTGCTCCGGGCTCCAGTGTCCAGCACCTGGACCCAAATCTTAGGAAGCCTCGAGGGTCTGGGGCTCCCTTTGAGCCTGGCATCTTGGTGCCCTCACGCTTGAAGGCACAGCAGCTCATGCCAACCCATTCCATGCCAGCCTCTGAGGTCGACATGGAATTGTGAGGCAGTGCTGCTTCCCTGCTCAGTGCGTGGGCCAGACCTCATCAATATCTCGCTGCTTCTTCCCCCTCTGCCCCATGCTCTCCTGTTTGTCGAGGCCCACCCAGACCTGCTCCAAGCTCGAGGTCAAAGCCCAGAAGGCACTGGACCATTTGCTAGTCACTGGCTTCCTAGGGAAGGAATCAATCCCTAGTTGGGGTCCAATTCCTTGGGGATACACTGCTCTTTTTCTGGGAAGGATGGTTACCTAGCTTCCTTTGTCTCTTCCCAGAGAGGCACTAGAAACTCTGAGAGAGGGGTCAGAATTTCCAGAATTTGCCAGAAAATTTTGGTCTTAGCAAGGATGTGCTTGCACGAGTACGTCTTGTGTGTGTGTGTGTGTATGTAAATATTTATGCACAGCTTAAGTGAGTCTGTATGCCTACATCTATGTTCAAGTGTTTGAGTGTGTGTCTGTATGTGTAAGGGCGTGAATGTGTATGTCTCAGGAAGTCTGGGAATGTTTGCATGTGCGAAAGTGCCTCTCGAGTTAGAGTCACATGTGTACCTCTGTGGGTCTGGGGGTGCTGTGGGTAAGGGTGCTCTTGGGGGGCCGAGACGTGTGTGTATATATACGTAAATGAGTTGTGGGTGTGTGCAAAAGTTAGAGTCTGGGAGAGAGGCAGAGAGAGAGAGAGAGTGTGTGTGTGTGTGTGTGTGTGTTAGGGTGTGTTTCCCTCTGACCTCTATTCCCTCCCAAACCTTTTCCTTTTCAGGGAGGTAGAGGGGGATATTCCCCACTTTGCAAGTGTTACAGATTCTACCCGAGGACGGGAACAGAAGGTTTCCCAGCACACAGCGTCCTGAAATTACTTTGGATCCCTCTCCTTGTTTCCTCTAATCAGAACAGCAGCGTGAGGCTCACCCATTCTCCCTGCCCACCCCTCAGCCTTTGGGGAGGGAATGAGTGGGCCGTCTTCTCTGACCCCTTTGAGAGCACCTTGCAGCCATGAGCCAAGGAGCTGTCTTCCAAATCTCTTTCCACGATGGCCCATGCTTCAGTGGCAAGAGCCAGCTGCCTCCCTGCCTGCTAGCAACTGCCAAGCTCTTCCAGATCCCACATCCAGGCCCGGCCTCATTTACAAATATGTAAATTTGCATCTTTTCTGGTATGCAAATGGAGACATGACAAATAGCTAATTAGGGTCGAAAGCGGCACTCTGAACCAATTAGTTGTAGGGTCGACCCCTTTCTGCTGGGAGGAGACGGGGCCTTCCTGTTCCCCTGCCAGCCCTGACTCCCCGATGCCCACACACTCTGGCCTGTCCTGCCTGCCTGGGGCCCTGGCTTCAAAGAGCACTGAAACGGGAGTCAATGCTTGCCTCCCAGTCCCACCTCTGGCACTTAGCCATGTGGACTCACATGCCTGAGCCTCAGTCTCTTCCTCTGTGAAATGGCGCAATGATAGTGACTGTCTTGTCTGTAGCCATTCACCCCAGTGTAGTCAGACTTCAGAGGACTTGAATGTAAACAGCCTTTGAAAGCTGTACTAAAATTTCCCTGATAGGCACATTACTTGTACTCTTGCAAAGTACTTTCTGCCCTTGATCTCATTTAATCATCCCATGAATCCTATGAATTGGATGAATTAGATGTAGTGAGAGGATAGCATTAGGTTTCATTCTGTGCGCCAACTCTGGCCAATTATGAATGGCTGTTTGGAGTGGTGTGTCGAGAAGGATTCAGAAGCCAAGTCTGGATTCACTAAGAAATAAAAAAGGCTGTGATCGACTAGTGATATATGCTGTGGGTGAATGTTTGGACTCTGGCAGGTTTGTGTGCTGCCTATTTATCAACCATAAAAGATACAGAATTTGGAGCAAGAACCTGAGTTCCAATCCTGCCTGCTCCCTTAATTAAGTTACTTATCTTCCTGAACTCAGCTTCATAGTATAAAACAGGGAAAATAAAACCAGTGTCTTAGGGGTATTGTAAAGTTTAAATAAGGGAAGGTGAGGCAAAATCTGTCATCTGGGAGGAGATGTGTCTATTTAATTGACATGTCAGTGGGCAGGCATATTGTCCCATTTCAGAGGTGAGGAGCTTGAGGCCTGAAGAGGGTGGATGACTTGGAGAAGCCACAGCCTTGCCAGGCAGGCCTGCACGGCAGCTGGGGCTGCTCTTCTCTCTGCCACTACAGGATCCTGGCTCCCTCTTACCACCCCCGCGCTGATGCCCCAAGCGGGCTGCAACAAGCCCTGCTGGCCTAGCTCCACTTCTGGGTGTGAAATTGGGCTGAGTCGGCACCTGGGAGAATGGGGCAATTGCCATCCTGGAGCCTGGGGCCTGGGCCGGGGCCAGTGCACAGACGAAGGGATGGTGGGCGGGCCTGGGCACCAGGGAGTTTGCCAAAGCTAGGCAGTTGTCAGGAGTGGGGCAGGAGAGGACCTGGCTTGAGGACAGCTCATTCAGGGATGCTGAGAGCCAGGGTCTGAGCTCAGAACAGAGCCCAGCAGCATGTGTGTTTGCCTGGGTGCTGGCAGTGCCTAAGCATGCTGGCCCAGTGTCTCTGAGCATGTCTTTTGGTGTGCACGTGTGTTCTTAAAATGTGTGTGTGCATGCATATTAACACAACAATAGATACACATGCTGTTGTGCACACTATGTGTCAAGGTGTGTCTGTGTGAGCCTGCACATGTGTCTAAGTGAACTTGTTGCATGTATACAGCTGTCGTATATGGATATGTGTGTGTGTCTGTGCATTTGTGCCTGTATCTGTGAATGTCTATTTATACATATCTTTCAATACCCATGCAGGTGTGTCCATATTGGTGTGCATCTGACCACCTCTGTCAGTATCTGTAGACGTGGGTCCGTGCTTTCCTGTTGGCATCCGTGCAAGCATTACTGTATATCTGTGTTCTTTCCAGTGCCTCTGTGCCTCTCTATGTCTTATACACGTCTGCAAATCTCCCATGTACACACATCAGCAAGTGTCTCTGCAGCTGTGCCCATGTGTTGGTGCATTTCCGGGTGTATGTATCTACCTGTGAGAGTGTTGGTATCTCTTGCAGGATGCAGGCACAGCTGTATCAAGGTGAGCAGAACAGAACCTTCCACGCGTCTGCAGCAGCTCCAGTTCCTCACTTCCTGTGGCTGAGGCCTCCTCGACTCCTTGTGCTTGAAGGGAAGTTTTGCCCTGGGTTTCCCAGGGTGCTGCCCCTGACCAGCCCAGGGCATGGTGTCCCTGGAGAAGGACCTGCTTGCCCTTTGGGACTTATTTATCCCTCCCTTCTCTCTTTCCTTATCTCATCTCCTTTCCTTTTTCTGTTCTTCCTTCCAGTCCCCATCCTTTATCCCCTTTTCCTCTCCCTCCTTCTTTCCTTCCCTCCTTCCTTCCCTTCTCACAACTCGCTTGAGGAGATTGGGTCTTGGGCTGCTGTGGAGGTGACAGATGAAGTCTTAGAAGCCCCACTTCAGCCTCTAGAGAGGGGCTCCCCACTTCCATCCCCCATGTGGACTCAGCTCCAGAGCCACACAGGCACCTAGGGTTCTATAAATTAGTCATTGCACTCCCCGCTGCATTTTAATAATCGGCCTCCAGCCCTAGCTCAGAATGAGAACCCATGACCTTCTCTCCTTCCTTTTGAGGAGCCCTCTCCCACCCTTCCTATGGCGCTGGTGAAAGGTGGCCGCACTACCTGCTGGAAGACCTACCAGCTTGGACTTAGGAGCTCCTCTGTCCCAGGTGCACTCCATATCCATCGCTGGTCCCTGCTGCCGTTGTTGCACCTTTCCTGGGATTTGACTTAGGGCTTCTATTCCTCCTGTCTGCATCCAGAATCCAGCCTTTCCTGGCTGGACCTCCCTGCTCGGTCATCCGGATCGCTCCCAGGCAGTCTCACCCTGGATGTGGCTCCTCTCATGTGCTGGCTGTAAATGTTTTGTCTCTTCTAATCTGCCGAGAGATGCTTCTGGGTAGGACCTGGGTCGGATTCCTTCCTGCCCGCCCCACAGTTCCCTTGCCCAGGGCCTGGCTCACAGCAGTGCTTGGAACATGAGTGCTGGATGATTCTGGTGAGAAATGAGGTGTCCCAGCTCATATCTTGCAACTGTCAAATGTCTCCCTGACCCTCCCTTCTCCTTGAAGTTCTCTCCCTTCCCTGATGATTTTGGATGCAATTTAAAATAAAAATATTGATTAAAAATTGGAAATGATACAAATAAAAATAAAACCACTTAACACTAATAAGTATCATTTGAGCTTTAATATGAAGAGAAAGCATGTTAAGATGACATTTTATGGGCAATTTCAAATTAGCATGAAGTTCTCAGCGGGTCAGTGTCTTGACTTGGTTCCCGACTCTTGGGGTCTGTGGCTGGGTGTTCTCATTGGAATCCTGACCAGGCAGGCAGTGAGGTGGAGCGACAAGAACTCAGGCTTTGGCCTTGGATAAGCTGAGGGTGAATCTCCCACTTACCGGCTGTGTGAGTTTTCTGAACCTCAGTTTCCTTCTCTGTACAATGGGTGGTTGTGTGAGGGCAAAAGAAAATGGTGCACAGGGTCAGGAGCAATGCGTGGCATCTATCATTCCACCTTCAGAAGACACCCAGAACCCAACCTCTTCCCTCCACCCCTGCCATGGTGTGGTCCACACCCCAGGGGTCCATTCGCTGTACTGCAGCCACAGTGATCCTGTTGACACCTAAGTCAGACCAGACCAATTATCTGCTGAAAACCTGCAAAGGCTCTCATCTCCCCTGCAATAAAAACCGAGGGCATGACAGCAGCCTCAAGGCCCCACATGATCAATCCCAGCCCTTTCTCCTCCCTCCCTGCCCCCTGCCATTACTGTCTCTGCAGTTCTCCCCATCTCACTTCCCTCCAACCACATGCACTACCCTTCTGGCTGTTCTCAAATGTTTCAGGCACAGTCCTGCCCCAGGACCTTCGCATGTGCTGTACCCTTTTGCTGGATTGCTCTTCCCCAGGTATCCTCATGGCTGCCTCTGTCACGCCCTTTACTCAAATGTCATCTTCTCCGTGAGGAACACCCTGCTTTTTCGGATTTATTTTTATCTGTGGCACTTATCACCACCTAGTATACCCCACTTTTTTCTTATTTATTTTCTATGTTCCTAGTCTCTCCCCAAGAGAATGTCAGCTCCTTGAGAGCAGGGATTGTTGTCTTCGTTTTCACCATCTGGAACATGGCCTGGCAAATAGTGGGTGCTCAATGAATTGTTGAATGAATGAATTGCTCATCATTTTGAAGGGTACCAAAGCATAGGAGTGGCTGTCTATCAGGTCGGGCAATCAAAGGTTATTGTGCTGCTGCAACTCTGAACTCCACCTTCACTCCATTAGCGAGGCAGCGGGGGCCCTTGGGAGGAAACCTGCCCCATGGTCCTTCTGCTTGGGGCAGCCAGCTCAGGAGGAAGCCCCCATGTGCTGATTACTGACCCAGCCTGAGAGTCAACAGTTTGTCCTCATGGGCCAGCTAGCAGTCAGGGATGCCTGCTCCCCAGCAGCCTCTGTCAGCTCCCTGCTCCATGCCTGCAAGTACATCCAAGGCCAAAGTGGTCCTTCCTGGAGGCTCCCACTCAGCCACACCTCTCCATGGGAGTAAAAGCACCAGAACCTGGAATGAACTCAGACTAAGGTAGATAGTGAGCCAGGCGCTGGAAGACTGAGGGAAGGTTAGCCACCAGAAGAGCATGGGACAGGCACTGCAGGCTCAGGTTGCAGCACGGGCAGAACTGGGCATGTAGGGAGCCGTCAGTGTGCTGGGGAAGGGCAGGCAGCAGGATGTGGCTGGAGTGTGCCTACATTACTTGGTGAGAACTTCTGGAAGCCAGGATTGGGGCTGATCTTTCTTTGCCTGCCCTTCTAGTGCTTACAACAGTGCCCAGCCCTCTGTAGATACCATTGGTATCTGCTGGATGGCCTGTCCAGTTCAGGTTCAGGAGTCTAGGGATGGGGTGGTCTGGCCACCTCAGAGCAAAGAAGCAACATAATGGTGCAGGTTAGATGTTGGTGCTGGTCTTGGAGAAGCGAGGGGGTGGGCGGTTGGAGGATGGATGGTCTTATCCACCTTTACTTTTAAAGTAGTTTCTTCAAAGGTGATCACAAAGGGTTCTTCAGATCTGGAGACACACCCAGGCCGAATGATCTCCCAAATCCAGACACGTTCATGGCTAAACATGGCTTTGACTTGATTCTAGAATAGGGTTCTTAACTATTTTTTTTTTAATGCCATGGATTTCTTTAGCAGTCTGTGAAACCTATGTACCCTTCTCAGTGTTTTTAAATGCATAAAATAAGATATGTAGGATTATGAAGGAAACTTGTTTTACTGAAATAAGGTTCAAACCACAGATCCCAGGTTAAAATGGCCAGTCATGCTCTTTGTTAAGACAAATATTTCACTCTCTGAAAACAGAACACAAACCCTGGCTTCTTCTGCACACTTGGAGGGTGGGGGTTGGGGTGCGGGGGAAGGTGTTTGTACTCATTTTTACAGGCCTGTCCTGGGGTGGAGGGAGCAGTTACATCCCAAGATGTCCAGGAGGCAAAGTTTGGAACCCTTGGAGGAAGCCACAGGGAGGCAAATGTCCAGGTTGCCCAGGGAAGGAGTGAGTTCCCCATTACTGGAGGTGGCAAGCTGGACCCATCTGTCAGGGATTCTGGGGTCAGGGTGGGGGGAGTGATTTCCACCCAGGTGGGCGGAGGTGGGTCTAGGAGGTACCCAGGGCTATAGGATCTTTCTCCTTTGCCATGCCGTGAGTCACCCAAGCAACGTGGGAATGAAAGCATGGCCACTTTCTGCTCGTTTCTGTTTGCCAGGCCCATGCAAGGAATTTGCACCAGTGCCACCTCAATTTTGCCTCAGAACTGGTAGTTGGTCTTGGCCTTTTGAAGACAATGGGCTTCCCAGCTAGGGAAATACCTTGCAATTCTGAATTTGTCCCCCAAAACCATTCCTGAGGGGGTGGGTTGTAAACCATCCCACCCAGCCTCTCCCCACAATGGGGCCCGTCCTTCCTACCGCTGTGGCTTCTCACCCTCCCCTCCAGCTTCAAGGTCCCAGACATTGCCTAAGACAGCCTTTGAAAGTGTCCAGTCCAAACTCCCTGTGTGGAAATGTGGATGGGGTGACTGAAGCCCAGAGAGGGTGAGGACTTTGCCATACAGCCTCTGGGTGGCAGAGCTGGTTCTGGAACCCAGCACCTGGCTCATCCTGCTGCTGAGCAGAGGCGTCGGGAGTGGGGAGAGATGGCAGTTGCAAGGCAGCCTTGGGTCTCCTTTGACAAACACATCATGCTTCCCACCTAAACCACCTTCGTGGGTGGGGAGTTGGGGACTGGTCTATTAGCTTTCTCCCGCTGTCCCCCGAGGGTGCATTTGTCTGTTTTGCATTTTTTCCAGGCTGTAGTTAGACAGCTCCTGGTCCTGGGGGGAGCACTGCAAAGAGAAAATGTCAGGGCGACACGCCGCCAAGATAACATTAGCGAAATATCAAGTCCTTTATGATGTCAGGAGGGATTCCTTCCCGCTGCCGAAGCTGCCTAATGACATCATAAAATAGGCCTGTGGCTGCCGCAGTCCCCCTGAATCATCAATCAGCCCGTCTGTGATGGGCCCTAGCACATGGGGTGGGGGGCACAGGATTTTAAACTCAGAGGAGGTCCCAACACAGCAGTGTTGAACTGAGGGGCTGAAGACAGTGATGAACTGAGAGGCTGAAGACACCCCAGGAAGGGTCAGCCCCTGGGGGCAGTGCCCCTCCATGGGCAACCTGGGCGCCAGGGGTCAGCATGGCTCCTGAGGTCCCTCAGAGACCTTGAGGCTGAGTTGGCCTGCTACGGGGCACTAATGCTCCTGGGGGGACTGCACCCGCCTAGAGTGCCTCAGTGGTGCTGAAAGAGAGGAGGGACCTAAGCCCCACCTTCCTGTTTGCTGAGGGCTGACCTGACTGTCCAGGGACACTGATATCCAGGAACAGACAGGACTGCTAGGACCATGGTCCCCATCCTCCGATGTAACACGACAAGAGTCACCCCACTAGAGACAGATGGAGGAGGTCTTTGGCTCATTTGTGGCTGGCGTGTGCTCCTGCATGTGTTGTGTGTGTGCTTGTGTGTGTCTATGCACGTGCAAACCTGGGGGTGTTGGCACCACATACACATACAAGTGGGTGGCTCCATGTGTGTCTTTGCCTGTGTACACACACTCATGCCTGCTCTCTGCCCACCTGTGTCTGAGCCTACATCTGTCTGTCTGTCCATGTGCTTGTGCAGATGTGTCAGAGTCTGTGCAGATGTGGGCAAGGAGATGTGGAAGGGAATAAGGAGGACTGAAGAGAGAAGGGGGTCCCAGAGGGTGAATGGGTACATGGGGTGTATGTGTGCCCTGCAGATCCCCTTATCATGCCAGGTTGAGAATGTCGCATGTGTATTAGAAACACCTGGGAAACTGTAAAACCTGCCCATGCCCCTGTCTCACCTCAGATCAATTAAATCAGGATCTCTGGAGCCAGGGCCCAGGTACCGTTATTTTTAAAGGCTCCCCAGGTGATTGATTCTAATGCACAGCCAAGGTTGAGAACCAGGGTGTACTGAGCCTTGCTATTGCAAGTGTGGTCCGAGGACTAGCAGCATCAGCCTCACCTGGGAGCTTCTAAGAAATGCAGAATATCAGGCCCTAGCCAGACCTCTTGAATCCTAATCTGCATTTCCACCCTATAATCTGTATATGAATAGGTCCTCAGGGGATCTGTACATCCATTAGAGTTTGGGAAGAGCAGAGCGTGGTTTAACAAACAAACCCTTAGGGCAATTTTGTTGGAGTTTCTGATTCAGTAAGTCTGGGCTGGGGCCTAAGAATGTGCTTTTCTAACGAGTTCCCAGGTGATGCTGCTGCTGACCCAGGGACCACACTTTAAGAACCACGGGCAGAGCTTTAGTGTGTGAAGGAGACAGACAGGAGGAGAAGGGAGTGGAGGGGTGTGTGTGTTGGGGCTGTGAAGATGGGATGGAAAGGGAGAGGACGTCTCAGTCACCTGGGAAGATTGCATTCCTCCCATTGCATCCCTCCCAAAGAGTCTGCCCTGCCATTGTCTTAGAGCCTCGATTTCCCTGACTCAGGGGCCAGGTCAGGGATGGAGCTAGAAAAGAGAACAAGAAACATAAGCAAGACTCCTGAGAGCT